CGTATTTAATAGGTTTTTTGTTCATCTCATTGTTCATTCTATTTTAAATTAGTGAAGTGTTTATGTTCTTCCTTCTATTCTAATAAGAAGTATATCAGTTGAGTATATCACACTGATATACTAAATATAAGATATATTTTAGGTATACCAGTATTAATCTGACATATATAAGTGGATAGAGGGATGAAAATGTAGACATATCGATTGTATATAGGGATAAGTGGTATATAAGGATTAATCCGTATGTCGATGCTGAATCAATGGATAGAGGGATGAAAATGTAGACATATTGAGGAAAAATTGTTAACTAAATAACTTCTTTTATTATGAAAATAAGAAAATTAAAAACAATAAGAGTTGATATGGTTGTTAAAAAAAATGTATATAAAAACGAAATTTAGCTACTAAAAATTAGAAAGAAAAAAAAAACGGGTTTTAGTTTTATGGCTTTTAAGTTTCTACATTATTTTAAGTTTTATATTGGTTATTAAATGGTGTTAAGTCTTGCATACCTTAACAAAGAGAAACTTATGATCGTTTATCTCAACAGAATTTGCAATGAATGAGAACAAAATTTCCATTATTTGATGATGTTTTTACTAAATGGTAGTAACGAAGACTTATTTTAAACTTTGTAATCATTACATTTTACTCCTACGATTTCATCAATCTCATTTCTTATTCCGTGGACCTTACATTTATAATTACTACTCAGAAATATGGGGATTTCATCACTCTCATTTCTTATTCCGTGGACCTTACATTTATAATTACTACTCAGAAATATGGGGATTTCATCACTCTCATTTCTTATTCCGTGGACCTTACATTTATAATTACTACTCAGAAATATGGGGATATTGTGGGTGAGGAAACGACGAATCTATGTTTGAAGTTCTTAAATGGTCAGTCTGAATTGGCTCGGATATGAAAGATTTTCGCCCTATAAGTTTATGTAATGTGATTTACAAGCTTATGGCAAAAGTCCTGGCTAATAGGTTGAAACAAGTTCTTGATAAGGTTATTTCCCCCAACCAATCAGCGTTTGTGCCAGGAAGATTAATTACAGATAATGCGATGATTGGGTTTGAGTGTATTCATGCAATTAACAATAAAAGAACAGGGAAAGATGAAGTGGTCACTATGAAGTTGGATATGAGCAAGGCGTATGATCGAGTCGAGTGGGGGTACTTGAGGGGGGTTGTGGAGAAATTGGGGTTTTGTAGTAGATGGATTACTTTGATATGGATTGTGTTGAGTATGTTAGCTTCTCAGTCATTCTTAATGGTTTTCCTAGAAGGATTTTTATTCCTCAAAGAGGTCTTCGCCAAGGCGATCCTTTATCCATGTACCTTTTTCTCCTTTGTGCAGAAGGTCTTTCCACACTCCTTAATAAAGAGGAACAATTAACTTCGAAATTATTCAGGTTTGTGTATAAATAAATATTGCCCTTCTATAACCCATTTATTTTTTGCAAATGACAGTTTGATCTTTTTCAAAGCTACCCGTCGAGATTGTCAAGCTATTAAGAATGTTCTTCACTTTTATGAGAAAGCGTTGGGGAAAATTATCAACTTTGAAAAGTCAATATTTATGGCCAGCAAAAACACAAGTTTGGAGATGATCGATTATATCAAAGATGAATTGAAGATCAAGTATACGAACACTCTAGGGCAATATTTGGGGTTACCTTCGCAGATAACTCGGAGTCGATGTCAAGCCTTTAACTCAATTAAGGAGAGAGTTTGGAAGGTGCTTCAAGGTTGGAAGGAGAAAATTTTCTCAAYAGGAGGTAAAGAAGTATTGATTAAAGCAGTTGCTCAAGCCATTCCTAATTATGCCATGAATTGTTTCAGGTTACCTGTTAGCTTGTGCAAAGAAATCAATTCTTTATGTGCTAAGTTTTGGTGGGAATCATCAGATGAGACAAAGAAAATACATTGGAGGAGTTGGAAGAAGATGTGTATAAGTAAAGATAAAGGGGGCATGGGTTTTAATGATGTGAGCATTTTAAATCAAGCTATGCTAGCAAAGCAATGTTGGAGATTGATTAGGAGTCCGGATAGTCTTTTTGCGAGGGTTATGAGGGGAAAATATTTTATTCATGGTAACTTCATGAGGGCTCAAATTGGGAAAAAATCCTTCCTTTGTTTGACGAAATATAATGTGGGGCAAAGATTTGTTTGTAAAAGGCTGTAGATGGAGAATTGGGAATGGGGCTGCTGTTACCATAGGAAATGATCCATGGATTCCTCGAGAAGGCAATTGCACGCCAGTTTATGTCTAAGATGGGATGAATCACAATTCTGTGGCATGTCTAATGAGTGAAAGGCGAAGGTGGAATGAGAATCTTGTCCATGATAACTTTTGTGAGGAGGAAGCTGAAATGATTCTTAAAATTCCTTTACTGCAACAGAGTCAAGAAGATGAAATTATATGGAATAAAGACAAAAGAGGGTTTTTCATTGTTAAAAGCGCCTATCACTTAGGGATGGAATTGGAGCGAGCAAAAGAATGTTCTACTTCTAATAGCGAAAATCAAAAGCTGTGGTGGAAGAAATTCTGAAAAACTAATGTGTCCCCAAAGATTAAAATCTGATGTTGGAAGAGTTATAATGATATTCTTCCTTCTAAAGTTAATCTGGTGAAAAAAATAATTATTACTGATCTGTTTTGTCCTTTTTGCACGAAAAGAGAAGAGACTACTCAACATATCCTATGGGAATGTAAGGTAATTAAAGATATATGGATAAATTGCACCCCTATTGAAGCAAATTTTTTCTATATTTACACGACAAACTGGACTACAAAAGAGTATTGGGAGTAGCTAATTGATAAGGCTGGTGAAGAAGAACGTAGAAGAAGCATGATAATAGCTTGGCAGATTTGGGAAATGAGGAACAAATCAATTTTCAAGGGTGTTCATTCATAAACTAGAGACATTCAATTGGCGATTGACAGATACATAATCAACAGTGCAGGTCGAAACACAAATCTAGAAGGAAAGTCGACAAACAAGGACTTGCACCTGACAAGGCGAATTGGAGACAATACAGGTGCCCGATGGAAACCTCCCATGTCAAATTCATGGAAGTTAAATACAGATGCAGCATGGCGAGCTGAAACAAACACCGGCGGGATTGGCTGGATTTTAATTCATCAAAGCAGGCTGTAGAATTATAAGAGCGGAAAGAAATATTACTTACCTAGAGCTGATGGCTATTTGCGAGTGATTGCGTGCGATTCGACAAGAACACTGTCAACCAATTCACTTGGAATCTGACTCCCTTGAAGCCATTCATCTACTTCACAGACAGTGTCAAGATCAAACTGAAATTATTTGGCTTTTAAAAGAAATCTGGCAGATGATGGAAGATATGGAAATAGTTTCAATGAAACATATCAGTCGAGAGGCAAATAAGGTGGCCCATGGCTTAGCCAGACGAGTGATGGAAAACGATTTGAGGGAAGAGTGGATTTGTCAAACTCCCTCGTGGCTCGACAATTTAGTTTTTCCATAATTTGTTTTATGTCAAGTTGTTTTCTTCTCATTACCTCAAAAAAATTAATAATTACTACTTTAAACACTCTACCACTTGTTTCCTCCCTCTATTAATGGATCATTATTTTTTAATAAATTGTTTTACACTTTAATTAATGTTAATTCGGCCTTAATTTAATCTTTTTACTTTACAATTTAGATTTAGTTTCTGTTCTATTCTTACAATTTAGTTTCATTAAGTTTCAAGAGATAACCCTATACTTTATTTCAAAAGTGAATTATTTTCAATTGAATATATTTTAAAGTTTTATGTGCATGACCATTATAATGGTCCTGCAAATAAGACTTTGGTTCATCATGAAATCGTAAAAGCTTTAGAAATAGATCTTTTAACTCTTCATTGCTTCATCAAATTCACTGCTAGAACTTTGGATTTTTGTGACGTTAATAGACAGTAAATCACTGTTGAAATTTTAATAAAAACGCCACTAAAGGTAAAAAAACGCGTTTTTAGAGTGAATAAATGGAGATTTACGGAATTTTGACCTTTTTTAACCGTCACGAAAACTTTAGCAAAAAATTCGTTTTTCGTGACGTTTAAAAAACGTCAAGAAAGGGTGATGCACGTTTTTTGCAGGTCATGGTGGAGTGTTCTGAATTTTTTACTTTTCATGACATGTTTCTAACCGTCACAAGAAAGTCACGTTTTTTGTGATGTTTTAAAAAATTCACGAAATGTAGAAATGCGTTTTTGACGGGAAAAGATGGAGGTCTTTGGATTTTCGACGGGCCATTCCATGACGTTTGGGAATCGTCACGGAATGATAAGACTTGTTTTTGGCGGGAAAATCAGATTTTTTGGTTTTTTCCCGGCGTTTAAATCCTAAGATTCAAAAATGTTATGTGGACGTTAAAAACAATGGTTGTCATGACACGACAGTTGTATTTTCTCAAAATCCCATTTCTAATTTACAAATAATTCCTTCACCACCCTATCATTCTCAGAATATTTTTGTAACCTTTGTACGTTTTTTATTGAGAAAGAAACAGAAATAAAAAAAATGTATGTATTAAGATAAACAAAATATGAAACGTGAGGGAGAAAAAAATATGGCACATCTTGAGAATTGAGGAAGAACAAAGAAGAGACAAAATGTGGCATTTTCCTTTAGAATTGAGAAAGAATAAAGATAAAGAAAAATTATGGCATACCTTAATGATTAAGAAAATAAAGAATAAGGAAGAAGAAAATTTGTGGTGTATAATAGCTTGAGAATTTAGGAAGAGTGCTTTTTGTATAAAGAAAACAGTAAATGGAATTTGAACCATCAAAATGGCATAAGTTTAATTTTAAAAAATATAAATTGAAAAAATAAAATACTTTTCACCATCAAATTTCTTTCTTAAAAAAAAAGGAAATTAAACAAATTTGTTTGATGGGTTTTGGCCCTATATAAAGAGCCCTATCAACAACACAATAAGAACAAAAAATCCTAAACTCTTCTCTCCAATATTCTCTCATACCTTCAAGTAAGTATAACATTAAGTTTCATGTTTTTTTCTTTTTTTTTATTATTGTTTACCTATTATGTATATGTATTATGCTTCATCCCTCCTCATTCTAACTCCTTCTCTCGAAATCGATCGGAAGTTCAATCTCCTATCCCACGATAATGTACTAAAAAAATGATTAAATCCATTCTCTTCCTTACTGATATTGAATTCAAATTTTGTATTTAATAGGCTTACGTTCAAATTACTCATATGCAATAATCAACTTGTTACTTGTTAGTTCTTTGGAATAAAATTTGAGAAGCTTTTCAAAAATTAATCATGATCTTTAACAAAATTAAGCCCGATTTGAATAAGATATTATGAAAGATTATCTTCTAATTTAATTAGGAGATTAAGCAAGGATGGATGTATAGTTGGGTCATCGAGCCCCCGAACATAAAAACAATATTTAATTTGAACTTTACCACCCTTAAACTGAGTAATATCTGTTTTATTTTTTTCGAACAAATAACTGTTTTTTATATAAGGAAAAAAAAAACTGGGAGTGATTTTTTTTCTTCGAAAATTATTAACTTTTTATTTTTATATATAAGAAAAATATATATTATAACTTTTAGTTTCTTTTTTGAGTTTGATTTTTTTTTTGTTTAAATATAAATAGAAATGAGTGGAAAATATTTTAAATTTCTGTGAAGTATTTTTAAAATAGTATATTTGTATAAAAATATTTTTAGTTTCAGTAAATTATTTTTAAAATAATTTATTTTTATAAAAAAGTTTTATAATTATTATAGAGGGAGAAATTTTTATTTATTATTTCAAGTTCACTCTTTTTCTTCTATATTTACGCAGAAAATTTTGTTCTATGTTCTTTTTTTATAATATCATTGTGAGTATCGAGGTCAACTTGCAAGCACCTCGACTTAATCTCACCGGGTAGCTACTTGACCCTACAACATTTAATATAGAGAAAACATTAGAATTAATTCTTAAAATAGATGGCCATCATGGAGTCTAAAGTAGGGTTGGGTTATATTTATATACTTAGTAAATAAAAATTTGAAAGTTTAAGAATTTATTTTATTTTATATATATATATATATATATATATTTTGAAGTGCGGAGACCTATTTGGACATAATATTGAAAGTTTAAGGAGAAGAACTTGTAATTAACCAATTTAATAATAAAATATATAAACTAAATACATGTTAATATTAATGTGTTCAAATTATTTTTATTCAGCCCCTGAAATAAAGGTTTGAATCCACCACTTATCATTGTAATATTTGAGGCAAATTTTGTTGAGCATAATTAATTTTCAATAAAGCCGCTTGAACAAAAATTCTAGATTCATTAACTGAGATTAAGTAGCTATGGTTTTTCAATTCCAAAACTTCTTTCCCCTCCCTGCGACTCAGCATAAAAGTTCAATCAAATAAAATTGTTTGAGCCCGAAATTGATTGAGCTCGGACACGATTCAGATCGGTATGCTCAGGACGAGCTATGGCCAATGGTCGGCACCTTCCTTGAACAGTTTTTGAGACCTGCAACACAAAATTAGCACTCCGACGAGCAAGTTAGTTCTAGTCCGAGCTAACTTGCCGAGTTTACTTAGGATTGCGTACCTTGCATTTAAGGCAAGGGTTTCTATTTATAGAAACTGGGCCCGACAAGGATTCTGACACACCCTAAAATCGCGGCGTGTTGTCGGGCACGGAAGGGATACTGTTACGGACTCTGTATCAGCTCAGCTCGGCACTATGGGTCCTACCCTGACTGCCGACCTGAGTATTTTGGAGACGCTTTCTTCACTTCACCCGCGTGTTTAACCAACCCACCTTTTCTCGATCGTGACACGTGGCAGGTCAGGATTCGCCTCCAACAAAAATCATATTAGTCCAATGATGAAGATACATAGAAAAGTATTTATAATATTTCATAGGTTTCTTTAAATTATTTTTTTCTTCTTTTATCTTTAATACATATACCTCCGCAAACAGTATTGCATTTTGCGAGTATTTGACTCATGTGCATGTTTATAGCTAATTTTTCTTTTGATTTGATCCGACACAGTGGTTAAGGTATATATTTTCTTCTAGATGTATTTTATTTTGATTCAAACGTGAAAAATTTAGATTATTATCATCATAACATCGATGCTTGACAAGAAGCATTGTTAATCATTTGCTATAGCTCGACATTTTGAGTACGAAATGTTGCACTTTATGCATTAATTTATTGCACTGTTTTGATGTAAATCTACTTAGGGTATGTTTGAGATTGATATTTTAGCCTAGTTGATTTTGACCGGGATAAAATCACTCTTAAACATACCTTTAATTTGACTATGCTCAGTAGGTCAAGATACCTATGTTCACCAGTTCAAATCCTCTCATTCCCGCATGTTGTATTAAAAAAAATCTAAAACTATTTGGAAGTCTAATTTTCTATTTTTTTTTTTTCCTTTTCATAGTGATGAGTCGATTCTTAGATGGGTAAAACTTACATAGTAACCAAGATCGGAGAATAGGAAATTGTTGCTACCCACAACTTTTGTGATCATTTAATGAACGAGAGCAAATTATTGTAGGCAGCACAGAAATTTGGAGTTTGGCGAAATGGCTGAGTCCCTATGGACTTGCGTTGTTGAAAAAGTGTTGGAGAAGATCGCAAGTGTTGTAGCTGAGCAAATTGGAGTGGCAACTGGCTTTAACAATGCACTAGAGGAGCTGCACAAAAATCTTGTTGAGGCTGAAAATATCATAAATGCTACCACAAAAAAGACTTCACATGATGATCTACTGAGGAAGGGGGTGAATGATCTTCAGCTTACTGTTGATGAAGCCAATGATGTGTTGGACTTGATTGTTTATGAAGATCTTCGTAAAAAGGTGAAGTCACAAACCAAATGGAAGGTACCATTTTCCTTTTGCACATCTAAATATTCTCCTGCCTTTCGTCTCAAAAGGGCCAAAGAAATTAAGGAAATTCTAGGGATGTTATCAGAACATATGGACAAGTTACCTAAATTAGCATCTCTGGGCGATAATACCACAGAAACAGAGATTGATATGAACCAACTTCGAGAGACGGACTCAAAAATCGATGATTTTGATATTGTGGGTAGGGATGTTGAACTTTCGAGCATAGTGGATAGGGTGATTGATGCTACAAATAGACATGTTACGTCTATCTTACCCATTGTGGGTGTCGGTGGACTGGGAAAAACAACATTGGCGAAGTTGGTCATCAATCACGAGAGGATCAAACATCATTTTAATAATAATACCATATGGGTGTGTGTGTCTCAACCTTTTAACGTCAATAAGATTTTGGGAACAATCTTAGAAACTTTGAAGGATACTCCTAGTGGGTTGGAGTACAAAAAGGAGGTCTTACTTGGTCAACTTTACAAAGAGATGCGTGGAAAAAAATATTTTCTTGTGCTTGACGATGTTTGGAATGAAAATCGTCTTTTGTGGGATGAGTTGAAAAATTGTTTGATGAAGATCACTGAAAATTCAGAAAATGGTATCCTTGTGACTACAAGGAGTGCTGAAGTTGCAAAAATTATGGAAACACTTCCTAGTCATCATTTAGGTAAACTATCTGACGATCAATGTTGGTCCTTATTTCAAGAAAGTGCAAATGCAAATGGACTATCAATGACTTCAAGTTTGAAAGTTGTTCGAGAAGAGTTAGTTAAAAAAATTGGTGGCCTACCATTAATTGCAAAAGTTTGGGGAAGCGCAGAACAATATTTAGGAGACCCTGATAAATGGGTGATAAATTTAAAAAGTTTAGTATGTAATTCATTGCAAAACGAAAACAGTGCTACATCCGCACTAAAATTAAGTGTGGATCGTCTACCTAGACATTCTTTAAAGCAATGTTTTGCCTACTGTTCAAATTTTCCCAAAGATTTTGAGTTTACGAAAGAACAACTAATTCAAATGTGGATAGCACAAGGATTTATTCATCTACCAAAAGGAAGAAGTAACGAAACAATAGAAGATGAAGGAGATAGGCACTTCAAGATCTTGTTGCGTCGTTGCTTATTTCAAGATGTTGTTCAAGATGATAGAGGAATAATTGTAAGTTGTAAGATGCATGATCTTATACATGACATTGCATGTGATGTTTCAAATGATCATAAATTGCAATATTCCAACAATTCATTGGATGGGGAAGTTTGGACGGATGAGAATAAAAAAATTGCAAGCAAGTTACGCACCATAATTTATTGTGAAGATCAAATGATGCCTCCCATAATGGAGAAGGTGATTCATGATAAGGTGATGAACTTTGTTTGTTTGCGTGTTTTGAAGATGAATTCAAGGTCAATTTCTGAGTTACCAGATTCAATTGGTGAGTTGAAGCATTTGCGATATCTCGACATTTCAGGTTGTTCAATAACACAGCTTCCAAAATCTATTGCTTTGCTTTATAATTTGCAGACACTAAATATGGGAGGCTTGCTGATTAAAGATCTTCCAAAGAATATAATAGATTTGGTTAACTTAAAACATTTGCAATTTTATCCGTATCATTTTGATACATATAAAATGCCTGCATATTTTGGTAAGTTGACTCAGCTGCAAACGTTATCTTATTTTGTGGTTGGGTTTGAGAATGGTCATAAAATTTCAGAACTTGGACTTCTGAAAAACTTGAAAGGTAGTTTGAATCTTTGTTTTCTAGAGAAAGTTGAAAGTAAAGAGGAAGCCAGGGCTGCAAAATTGGTGGAAAAGGAGAACTTAGATGAGCTAGAATTTGAATGGAGTCAGTCTCATTTAAGAAAAGATAACGACAGTTACAAAGATTTCGAAATATTGGAAGGACTTCAACCACACAAAAATCTGCGATCATTGAGTATCGAGCGCTCGGCAATCAAATCTTTGCCAAACAACATTTTTGTTGAGAATCTGGCAGTAATAAGCTTAAGGGATTGTCAAAATTGTGAAAGGCTTCCAATGCTTGGGCAGTTAAGAAACCTAGAGAGACTTGAGGTATATGGCTTGCATAGTGTACAAAGTATAAGCAATGAATTCTATGGAAATGATTGTAACCAAAGGACCTTATTCCCCAAGCTGAGGGCATTCTTACTCTCTGATATGGAGAACTTAGAGCAGTGGAAAGAAGTAACAGTTGCATCAAATCTTACAACTTTTCCTTGCCTTGAAAGCTTGAACATTTGGAGATGTCCCAAGTTAATGAACATTCCAGATGTTTTTGGTTATTGTGATGAGAATGGTGTTGAGCACCTTAGACATGTGACTATTTCAGGATGTGATGGATTGAACAAACTTCCAAATGGGCTTCAATTTTGCCACTCCATTGAAGATTTGACAATAGAGGACTGTTCCAATTTGACCTTAAGTCTGCAAAATAAGAACAGGTTGTCTTCTCTAAGCATTGGTGGCTTACACAAATTGCCAGAGGGGATGGCCCATCTTAAGAAGTTGGAAGCAATGAAAATTAATGGAGGCATCCAAGACTATGACTTTAGTCCTCTCATGCACCTTCCTTCTCTTACATATCTTCATTTGTGTGACGATTTGGGAACTGCAACCCATGTTCCTCGACAAGTTGAGCACTGCACTACTCTGAAATTTCTAATCATTGAAAATTTTGAGCATATTGAAGCATTGCCAGAATGGTTTGGAAACTTTACATCTTTGAAAAGATTAGGACTTTACTTTTGCAGCAATCTGAAACAATTGCCTTCGAGAGAAGCAATGCTACGCCTCACCGAATTACGTGCTTTATATGTTGATAGATGTCCACAACTACAACTCGACGAAGGTGACACGGAGCGGGCCAAACTTTCCCATCTTCCAGAAATTGATGTTCGTTTCGGTTATCGTGTTTATAAGCTATAGATAATTCTTTTTAGCCCTTTTGGTAGCACCACCCTTTGGGTAAGTGTATTCAAATAATTCTCAGTTTAATTATTCAAGTTTTCCATTTACAAAACTATTGAAGATTCAAGGAAAAGAAACTATGATTGGTGTTATCCTATAGTTGTGACTATGAAGAACATTTTGTTGTAATTCATCATTTTGATGGTACAATTTTTTTTTTTTTGGGAGTCCCTTGCCTTGAGACGTTGCCCACGGTCTACACATTTTTATTTTTGTTTGTTTGTGATTTTAATTTTTCTATTAAAGTCATCTGGCAAAATATGCACACAAATGATGGCAGTCATATAGTTTATATTTCCATATAAATAAAAATGCAGTCGAATATAGTTTATATCTCCATGTAAATAAATAAATAAAAATATATATATAGTCGTAATAAATTTCATTATTTAGTAGAATATGTTAAGGAGTAAATTTGGAGATTATGAGAATAATTGAATATTTTGTAATAAATTTCATTATTTAGTATAATATATTAAAGAGTAAATTAGGGTATGAGAATGATTGATTTAGGTCCAGTAGGGGTGTTCAAGGAACCCGACGAGGGTTGGGTTGGGTTGAATTTAACATTGGGTTGGATTGGGTTGGAAAAATCCCAACCCGACCGATTCGGTTCAGTTCGCGGATTCGCTCTTTAAAAAATCGGTTCAACCCGAACCGAACCGAAATCATTAATATATATATATATATATATATCATTTTATAATTATATAATTACTTTCAATCTCAACCCTCCATTTGCTTTTAATCTCAACGCTTCATTTCCTTCCATGTTATCTCATGTCGCCGTCGTGACCCACAGATCTAGTCGTCGCTGTCATGAAGCAATTTCATATCTACTCGAGACCCACAGATCTGGTCATCGTCGTTGTGACCCACAAATTCAGTCGTCGCCGCTGTGAAGCACGTTCAGATCTACTCGAGATCCACAGATTCGGTCGTCGCCGCCATGAAGTAGGTTCAGATCTACTCTTTAGCCATAGATCTGTCTATCCCTCGTCCTTCGTTGCCGCCGTGAAGCAACCCGATAACCCAACCCGAAGCAACCCGAAATTTTAGGGTTGGGTTGGCCATTGAAATCGGTTTCCTCAGTTCCCTAATCTGACTAACCCGAAAATTCGGGTTCGTCCCAAAAATCCTTTTAACTTGACCCAACCCAACCCGTGAACACCCCTAGGTCCCACAATAATTTAATGTTTAGAAAATCAAATTTAGAATATTAATCTTTTACATTTAAATAAAAGACTAATTATAATAAATATAAATGTCATAAATAAGGACATTTAGCATTTCGAAAAAGTTTTAAATCTATGAATCTAAGACGGTAAAATTTGTAAACAATAACATTTGTGAAAATAAATTTCCAAAATAACTCAGACATTATCTCAAAGACCTTATCGAATATAAGAAAGCTCCCTCTTAATCTGGTTGGCAGCCATTGAAAAATCAAGTTCTCTAGAATCATTTTAGCCCAAGCATGCTATTTCAACAAGCGAATAATTAGAAGTAAAAAGAAAAAAGTCGAATCAGAAAATTTTGTAAGGCAGAAGTAAATTCAAGTTAGGGTTTAAAAGTTTGCTACTTTTTAGTGTTGGATCTGACCCGACATTACAATATATCTTTTTAGCCGGACAATTGAAACTTACAGTTTTTCTTTTTATATAATTTTAGCACTTTTTATGTTATCCCCTCATTGTCCGTTCATTGAAACACAGATTTGTTGTAGTGTTAGTTTCGGTTTGTTATATTTGTAATAACTTGCTTATGGTCTATTTATATCACAAGGTATTATTTACTCTTGATTATTATATATATAGATAGATACATATACATACATACTCATTCGAAAGAAAAAAAAAGAAAAAAATAGATGGTAGAGAGTAATCATGGACATACATTATGATCATATCAAACAAATCCAATCCAAACCCCATTGAGCTAATTTTTTAAAGTTATTATTTTTGTGGAATTATCAAAATATCAAAAAAGTGGGAATGCTAGCTGTGCCACGTTTTAAAATTTCAACTATCCTCTCATTCTTTTTTTTTTTTGTCCAATTGACGTGACAATTAAATAATAAAGACGAAAAATAATGTATTGATGGAAAAGAATTTTTTAGTCTAATTGACGGTTATATAAAAAAATGCATAGATTGAAAATAATTTTTGATATGTTTAAAAGATTAGGTAGTGACACAATTTAAAATTAGGGTTTAAATTTTCCACAAATTTATATATTATCTTTTTTTTCTTTTTTTAAGCACGGACATATTTGTATAGAAAATTTGCAATTTATCATTTTTGCTTTCAACGTTATGCTTCATGCAAAGTTTAAGCCCAAGGATTTAGGCCGAAGTATTTTTTAGTCTTAATAATTAACTAGATCTGTCAAAGGCATTTTCCTCTCACAGAGGTACTACAACTTAAGCATAATATGGTGCTTTGACTTGCCCAAGTACTGAAATTTTTTTGGCTTATTTAGCTTTTAGGACTTGCAGATTACTCCACAACAACCATCTCTTGTTGTGACAATCAGGTTTCTATCACATTGCCACTAATCTTATATTTCATAAACGAAAGAAACATATCAAGCTTGATTGTCACTTTGTTCGTAATAAGATGACGGTTGATTTTGTCAAATTCATGTCGATCGATCTGAACTCAATTCTAGTTAGCTAATATCTTTACTAAACATATTTTTATTACTCCATTTACTTCTTTATTATCCAAGATGGGTGTTGTCAATATCTTAGCTCCATCTTGAGAAGAAGTATTATAATATAACTAGTCACTTAGTATTAGTCTGTTAATACGGTGGTTAAAGCACGGCGTGATATGTTCACTACAACAAATTCGACTTTTAATGACCGGCATTGTCCATCACTAAAAGGAAACGATGACAGTCAGATGACTGTCATCTATGCAAGTGTCCTTATTTTTTTTTCAATGTCGCACGGTTTTAATGATGAACAATGTCCGTTGAAAACATAGGGAGATAAAATTAGGGCTTGATTTATTAACAATTAAGTTGTATTCGAATACCCAGTATGATGCTTATCTAAGTCGTTAACCCTAAATAAGAAAAGACTAATCTACCCTCAAAGACAAATAATAATAACAAAAATATTAGTGYTAACATTCCCCCGCAAACTCACGATGCTATAGTGATAAGCATTTAGAGTTTGTCAGATAAATAACGAAAGCAAGAAGCAGAGTGTGCCTTGGTAAACATATCAGCAATCAGTAGAGATGAAGGAACAAAAGGCAATGTAATGGAGCCATGTTGGAGATGATGGCGAGTGACATGAAAATCAATCTCAACATAATTGGTTCGCTCATAAAAAACTGAATTGCCTGCAATCTGAATGGCACTCTGGTTGTCACAATGCAAGGGAGTAGGATGACGAAGATAAACGCCCATATTTACAAGTAGCCAATGTAACCAAACAATTTCACAAGTAGTCGAGGCCATGACACGATACTCAGCTTATGTAGAAGACYGAGAAATAACATCTTGTTTCTTACTCTTCCATGAAATAAGTGAATCACCAAGGAAAATATAGAATCTAGTGGTTGACTTGCGATTAGTAGGATCACCAGCCCAATCAGCATCAGAGTAAGCGCGYAACTCTAAAGAGGACATGGAGGGAAACAAGAGGCTCTTAAACTGAGTGCCTCGAAGATACATGAGAATACGAAGAACAATAGACCAAYGAACTATAGTAGGAGTAGTGACCAACTCACTAACCACATGAACAGCGTGTGCAATGTCTGGACGAGTCACAGTTAGATAGACCAAACTACCAACAATAGTACAATACAAATTAGAATCTAACAAAGGAACATCATCCGACGAAGAATATCGGGCATTGGGCTCTAAAGGAGTATCAATAATCTTGTTGTCAGTGAGACACGCACGATCAAACAAATCAGTTATATACTTTGACTGAGATAAGAGATAACCTTTTGGAGAATAAGCGACCTCAATACCAAGAAAGTAGTGCAGCATGCCTAAGTCTTTCATAGCAAAATAACGAGAGAGATCAGACTTTAAAGATTATATTCCATCATAATCATCACCAGTAATGATCATGTCATCAACATACAATGACAACAAAATAYGACATGCACTTGTACATTTAACAAAYAATACGGAATCTTGGGAGTAACCTTTAGCAACAAGTCGAGCTTTGTATCGTTCAATAGATCCATCAGATTTAGTTTTAATCTTTTAGACCCAACGAGAGCAAATAGTACGTTTTCCAGATGGTAGTGGTACCAAATCCCATGTATGAGTCTGATATAGAGCGGTAAGTTCCTCAGCCATATCATTCTGCCAAAGTGGATCACAAACAGCCTCTCTAAAAGATGAAGGTTCAGAGAGATGATGAATTGAAGTAACAAAAGAAGCAAAAGAGTTCGAATAAGAGGAATATGCAAAATTTGGTAGTTTAGTGGACTTACAACTCGAGTGGACCGACGAAGTGGAGGAGCATCCGCGACCTCAGGAGATGATTGAGCAGCCATAGGAAGCGGAGAGTGAGATGTGGATCTRTCAATAATCAAAATACCAGATTCTGTTGAGCTATCAGTARGGGCAACCAGAGTAATGGATGGAGCTTCTTCAATGTCAGTATGGAATGGATCAATTGTTGGGTGTGTTGCCCTAAACTCGTAGTTTGTATTTATGTAAAAACAAATGTATTTTCAATAAAGTTTTATTCAATAAATTTGTTGTTGAATTCATAGCATTGCATTGTCCAAAATCCAATAAACTAAACATCCGAGGTTATTATCATGTAACCGGGACAATATATATACTGGGTATATATTTGATATACTAGGTATATATTTGATATACCCCTGATATACGAGTGGATTACGTCCCGTGAATAACCTAAAGGGTCTATAGTATATGGATAAGGCTGGGTACCTTATCCTGGCAACACCATGGATACGGCCCACTTTGTAAATGTTACAGACGACTCGATCCAGGTCGTTCGTGTGGAGGCATGTGAGTGGGGATATCCTATACAATGAGTTTGTATAAGACCGGACTGCGAAATAGTAAATCTTTAAATGTAACGTCGTTGACTAACATATTACTATTTCATAGGATGACMAAACAACTCATTCTCAAATCTGAGTTGAAGGGGTGTTAATCCCRGAGCGGAAACGGATTTTCTTTGCTGATTTTCGGGATACAAAATCGAGTTTTGAAGAAGAAAATACAAGGGAAATTCCAAACCTTTGAAGAACGTTTCTTCAGTGAATTCCCCTCGAACACCACCACCGGATCTTCCTCGCTATCCTCTTAGGTCTCGGGATCGTGCTTGTGGTAGCACCTTGATCGAAGAGAGAGAGAAATTGAGAGAATTTTTTAGAGAAATCATTGGGAGATACTTTTTTTTTCCTGTTCTTGTGTAACCTTCTTCTTCTGCTTCTCCAACATTTGGAGAAGAAGAAGAAGGGTAACTCCCCACGTCACAACACCTCCCACTCCCCTGCAATTTTGCAGGGGAGTTAATATTAATAATATTATTAATATTAATATTAATATTAATATATATATATATATAATATATATATATATAATATATATATATATAATAATTAAAAAATATATATAATAATAATTAAAATATATATATAATAATATATATATAATAATTAATATATATATATAATTAATTAATCAAATTAATTAATATAATTAATTATTAATTCAATTAATAATTAAATAAATATATATATACATAAATAATTAACACTTAATTATTTATTATAAAATTAGAATCATATTCTAAAACATTTCTCTCGTATAACCTATAGTTTTAATGTACATCTTATGCACATTATTTTTAACCTATAGTTTTAATATAAATCTCATTCATATTAATTTTATTTGAATCTCATTCAAATAATATCTCTCATAATATATAGTTTTAATTTACAGTTAACTATATATTATAATGTATCAATATACATATAATCCCTTAAGTAATTTGAACAATTCAAATTCTTCCAAAAATTTGATCCTCGTTTTACCCGTTATGAGCTAGCAAGGRGAYCTAATGGACCTACAGATCCGAAGCTCCAACGATGTAAGATTAATCGGTCAAACTCATTGACCGAGTTAGTCTAGATTCGTTAACTACGGGTCATTCCACTAAAGACCCGCAGTTGCACTCTTCTCACTGCAGAATGTTTTCGTGTCCATGGATATACGACCATTAATGACGAGTCAAT